CTTAAGAAAGCACTTGCCAGGATCCAAAGGCACAAAGATTTATCTCAACTCGATTAAGCTCAGGGACTTCTCCAAGAGTCTGTCGTCATCTAAAATTCCAAAGCACAGCAGACCATGAGCACAAACTACATTTCCAGCTCACACAATCTAGGATCCTTGTGCTATTTTACCTTCCTGACATCAAAACTAGAAGTGCAAACTTGATTTGCCTGTACACATTCTCAATCACATTATCTTTAGCAACATGCTAAACAAAAGAACCCCCCCAAGATATTCATAGATAGGTTTTGTCTCCTGAAATTCAGTTCTGCCTTTCACTACATTCATTAGCTCTATTTATTAACTTTTCTCTTTTTCCTTCAGCAAAATGAAAAAAAAAATACCCAAGCAAGTGTCAAAATACCATGATTGAGACCTGGTGGAAGAAAAGTGCTTGAAATAGCAAAATCAAGTAACTTTGGAGCTGGCTGTACCCTGTTCCGTTCCCTGATGTACCAAGAAACGCTACAATTACATTGAACTAATTAGATTATTTTTTTAATCTGTCAAAAAGGTAACATATTTGGTTCAAACTAGAGACAAGAGACTGCTGTGGGTCTCATAACACTAAGACATTCAGTTAGGAGTTCCAGGGAAGACAGAACTACACAAAATGCAGTGACAATGTATCAAACATACTATACCTAGCCCCCCATACACAAGTGGCGGTTCCGGGGCAGCTCCTGTCCCAGAGGCAATCTCTATACATACCTATGGAACAGGGTTTTAAATTGTGAACAGACCACACTTACTCAGGTTTCTAAACAAAGAGACAACTACCCATCCATCCTACATCAACATTTCTACGGGGGTGGAATGGTAGGGGTGGTGGTCTTAATCAAGAAGGGTTTTTTAAACATTAAACTACTGGAACATCAACTCCCCAGTAAAAAAACAAACAAACAAAAAAAAACAGTAGTAACTCTGATCCTCTGCATCCCCTCTCTCTTTTCCAAGAAAGCAATATTCTATGAATTGTCATGTCTATTAATTTGCAACCCGAAATGGTTAAATATCTGCTTTACAAGGAACTTCCCACTGCACAGCAAGCTTATCTGACAGTGGAAAATATTTTGGCTGCAAAAGTCATGAGCCTTGTAACTTGTATCAGCACCAAGTTCTCATCCCTCCTGTCCAAAAGGCAAAACTTAGAATCTGTGCACGAGGAAAAGCTCTGCTGGGGTTTACAGCCTATTTGATTTCTGGCAAGACCCAGATTTTCTAATTAGGTAACCTAAATAAAAACAGTTTCAAAAAATGCTTAAAATATAGACTTCATATTTCTTACAAAAAAGGAAATGGTTATGCAGAGACTGATGATGACCGGCACAGGAGTTACATTGGTTATTAATGCTGTTACCAATGATTGAGAATAGGAAACATCATGCTTCGTGAATGCATTGCACATTTATATACTGTATCCCACCACCTTTTTCCTAATGGACACTACAAATTATAAGAGAAGCACTTTAATCCAGACCATGCATTTAATGTAGACAGAGAATGAGAGAAGTCATAATTTATAAGTTTACCACAATCTGCTCCCATTTGAAAGTCTTTTAAGTTGCCTGAAGACACAAGATCCCATAGCTCAAAGTTTTCACAACTTCATACCCTCACTTTTTCCTTACAAGAGAGGCTTTTTTTCCTAACACCTTTTTTTCCTAACCTTATTTCCTCTTTTAGCTTCAGCTCTGAAGTAGTAACAACAAATCTTTTTTTTGGTCAAAGCCTAAAGTCCAAGATACAACCTAAATCTATAGGACTACACACAGCACAGCTGCCTGATGTCGGGAGCTGTCTTTTGTCCCAGTAACCATAAGCCATAAATGTTATGTCTGCCAATTTCAGAGTTGGCAGTGAGAAGAAAAACAAGAACAAGCCCATTCAGGTAAGTCTTTACTGATTGTTGATCAGCTGCTCATCACCAGCTAAAAACCTTCTCTTCTACACAGTTTATCCTGAACACAAACCTCCTATTTTACCAGAAATGCAGGAAGTTTTCAAACTTCATAGAGCTCTACATTACACTTCCACCATATTTCTAAGCAGAGAATATGAGATTTTTCTGAAGACTTAGCTACAATCAATGCCCAAGCATAAACTCTTCTGCTAGACTTGGACAGGACAAGCTGAAAACACTAGTAACAGAGTTGAGTTACAGATAAAGGTAACTTTAAAAAGAAAAGAACCTAGAAGAATCTTGCAAAACCCATACTAAAATCTCTTCCTCTTGCTCCATACAGAATACAGTGTTTATTTTTATCTCGCTCGAAAGCTGACCTGAATCCAGAACCACTTAACAGGAAATAAATAGACAAAAAAGCAACAACATTAACTGTAGTTTACACAGACATAAAATGCTTTTTTATCCTTACATTAAGAGCACTCTAAATTAAAATATTTAGATTTATTCTACCCAAACAAACATCCCTGCATTTACAGTTTTTTAATTTCTGTCCTCAGCTTCCCCCAGTGCACATTGACGTTAATCGACTTCAACAATGGAACTCCACTAGTTATTTTATTTCCTAATTTTCCTACCTTTGCACAATACAACATACAACCACCAACTGAAGACATTTTAACAGAAAATCTTCCTCTTGGCTTTGTTAAAACCCATCTCCCCTCCAAACCATGCAATTTCAAGCCTAACACAACAGCTACTTGGCCCTATTTTTTAGGCCCTGCAGGTTCAGAAAGAACATGTGCTCATGACATGAAGAATGAGATTAATTCGAAGAAACGTTTAACATACAAAAAAACCAAGTAAAATGGATTTTAAATGCATCTGAGCTCCATTCCCTGCACTAGTAACTACACATCTGTACAAATGAATTCACCTGCACTTCCAGAACTAAAGCAGATGTTAATTCTAAAAGTAAGACTTTGATATTTAGTAGCCATGAAAGAAAGGAAACAGCAAGGCCATGTGTCCATCTCTAAGCATTGTTAAAAATTGCAATGATCTGCTGATTTGTAAAAAAAAATTCCCCTCCAAAAAATCCCCAATGGCTTCTTCCCAAGCACCACATTGAGAACAGATGGCCAGCATCAAATCTGCAATTACCAGTGTGGCCTGGCAGTCCCACAGATCACAATGATACTTTTTGTGGATGTGGGGGCAGCTTGAGAGATGCAGACAAGTAGGTATCATAGGGAAATGCACTTTCCACTAAAAATGTACATACACATTCCATTTTCAAATCTGCCACAATCTCTGTTAACTTCTGATTTACATTTCGGTTTCCCTCCCCTTTTTTCTTCAATATTTTATTTTGTGCTACTGAAAGTTTTTCAAACAAGGTGGCAGGAAATCTATAACAGTAAAGATACAGTAGAACTGACCATTGTCAAGCATCACCAGAGGCATAAACTTCATGAACTACCCATTGTTGCAACTTTTCCCTTCTTTTGCTTTGACAAACCCTAAGTGCAGCTCATAACAATGCTCTATAAAAGCATGCAAATGAACAGAGTTAAACAGTAACGACTGCCTATGAAACTTGTGATTGTACTCCTGTGCCATCCCCCTCTCTCCCTGTACCCAGGAACAGCTGGTCTGTTCTCTTTAGCCAGGACAACATCTGATGAGGAGGTGCTGTTTCATTTCCTCTCCCACCCCTCAAACGGGGAAGCCCTCAAAGGGGGGATGGGAGAGCATGTTTTTAATTCAAATGCTGCATCTTAAGATAGCATTGTGCAACACAAGTCTGAATGTAAATACATATACACACACATATATACATCATGAGAGCTTTATTCCCTCTACATCTCTTAATGCAGAGACTTCATTGCTTTTTTTTCTTTAATATCAATTTACTATTTCAGTTTTACATCCAAGAATTTGAGTACTTGAGTAAGTTTTTTATTTTGCTAAAGCTGATAAAGATTTAGAAATTAAAGGAAACAAAGTAAGCTATGAGGCGTCTCCTGTGGAGTTCCTTCCCAACTGACAGATGCAGCAGGAAGAGGATGGAAAGGATTTCTTCATGTGCACAGAGGCCTGACAGACTTAACTCTTCAGGCATCTGGACCTCTCTTCAGGAATTCTCAGCCCCCCTATAGTGACTTCTGTCTCTTACATTAATTCAGCATTCTTTACTTGATTTATATTAATTTCTCTTTTCTTCCTCATTTCAGCTACCACTTTTGAAAAATTTACCAGGCATAGAAAGTTGGAGAAAAATAAAACCACAGTCGTCCTGTCATCACCTTAGTCTGGAAAAATCTCAGTGGGAAATAAGGCTCGGCAAAAAGAAAACCTCAAGCCTTACTACTGTCTAGTGTTTCTCATTCTGGCTTAATTCAGTGACACATTCCATAGGGAGCACGCCAGTGTTATGGAGACGATGCTATCCTAGAGGCTGAAACCCTCCCTGATATGATCAGCTTTGAGTAATCATTATTTAGTCCAAAACAAGTTTTAACAATCTATAGATACTGCTAATTCTCCTTAAAGATCTTTGACTCTGTGTCAAATGCCATGCAATAAAATGCAAACATCGCCCATCAGAAGAAAGAAGTGAAAAGGCAACACACCCATTTTCCTCTCAACCGCAATGAGCAAGCTTTCTTTCCTGACACACACAATAGATACCAGAAAGCACTGTCCTTTCATCAGCTCTCTCAAAAGCTTTTTTTCTGCATTTACCACTTGTTTATCAAGTGCTGTAGTACAGGATATTACTTCTCCATACAAATCTGGCACTTTTGTAACTGCAATTATCAAAAGATCCAATACAAGTACCAGCTTTGTGGCAGAGATGCAAGTTAATACATACAACTCATGTAGAAGCAAATTAATTAAACCTCACCAGAACAATTACTTGGTCCAGCCAGGAACACAAAGAATTGCATGTGCTCAACAGCTTTGCAAAAGTACTGTTATTTTGGGAAACGTACCTTTAAAACAGTTTGGATTGTTTCTCTCAGAAACATCCAAAACAGTGTCAACTCACCTTCCACACTATCAGAACAGGAGGTACCAATCCCAGTGTCCCCGCTGTCGGAAGCTATACTGTGTCTTCTGACAGGATTGCTTTGACTGCTTGATGAAATAGCTGTGGACGGCCACAGGGATTCAGTACCAGGTAACCATCCCACTGAGGAATAATCTGAGCCTATAAAGAAGGAAGCCAGAAGTCTGTCATTATGGATACAGTACAGAAATCAACAACAAAATACTGGTCAAAATGAAAATTGAATCTTAGGTTTCATAGTTCAGGTTGGAGCCAGACTGTGCTAATGTTTTGAGTTGAGATTTTTTTGTAGGTTTGTTTGCGGGGGGGAGAGGGGGGGTGCTGGTGTTTGGTGGTTTGGCTGTTTTCTGTTGTTGGGGAGTTGTGTGTGCTGTGGGTTTTGGTTGGCTGGTTGGTTTGGTGTTTGACTGGTTTTGTTGTGTTTTTTTAAATTAAAATCCTCCCCCCAAAAAATCCAGTAAATACATTTTTGCATTAAAAAGTGTGACCTCCAAACTGTTACTGCACTAACTTTAACAAGACACACAATTCCTATCCTAAAACCGATTCTCAACTCACAGTAAAAATTTGCATTGCAAGTATTTAAATACAGTCAGAAATTAATGAATTTTTGGAGAGAAAGCAGTTGAAAGATTTGGCCAGTGAAACGCAGTCATGTCCAACTATGCATAAACCACATGACCTAAGTTATTAAATGAAGGAGCAGCTTCATTAACACCAATATCTAAAGTCATTATGTTTCACTGTTACCTGTAGTTTTCAGTTATTAAAAGACAGACTACCAACTCAAGCAGGAACACAGTCGCTGCACACATGCTATCTTTGTGATACATCTATCCATCCAGTGATTTAATTTTGGTTAAACAATCATTAAATTATTAAATTGTAAAGCACAATTTAGAGCAGCAAATAGTTCCTCTGTTCAAGGAATTTTTGAGGATGTGTAGCCTACTTTATAGTCCGTCTCAAGGGAAAAGACACCACAGAGTACAACCCCAGGGGGCCATCACAATCTCCAATAGCCAATATCTAAATCTGAGCATTTTTTATAGGCAGAATACCGCTCATCACATTCACACTCCAAGCCAGCAGAGCCACATAAAGCACCTTGGTAAAAATGCACAGCCTGCTCTTTATTTTATATATAACCACATACAAACACCCCCTCTAGCAGTTAGCTTTGCGTAACACTTTCAGCAGGAAATGACTCATGAAGAAGTATCAGGCACATACAATGTCTCTTATGCTACATGAGGTTATTTTTAGGTCATTTAAACATTTTCAGCAACATCCACCCAAAGTTGTAACAGCAATTTGCCTCTGCAATGACATCTGCAGATTATAGCTATTTCCAGCTGTACTTGTTTCCCAGTAAATTTAATAGTTTAGAAAAGGATGTAAAAATGAACATGTCTGTATATCTATAATTCACACACATATATATGCATACATACTTCCCATATAGCAGCCAAATCACTACACCTACTAGCCAGAGTGATAGCAGCTGCTCACCAAGCCACTTGTAAATTGAAGAATACAGTATACAATTCCTTACTGTATGCACTATTTAAATGTAGCATGACATCTAACAGACCCTACTTTCTGTAAGCAGGTTCTTGGAGGTCTGAGGTGTGCCTGTCCATCTCACTTGTCTCAATTCTCCTTTGAGGTTACTGCCTCTTCTTCCCTTTAACACATTTTCCTATCTTTTCTCAGTCTTTAAAATCATTTCATCCTCCTTCCCCTTTAGCCATAGCTTGTGCAATATATTTCCTTGTCTTCTTTAAACTTTTTGCTTTTCCTCCCCAAAAGTACCTTAACTCTTAAATATTCCATTGAGTAGCTTTCAAATCCAAGGGTAAGGAGTAGAACAGAAGACCAGGAGAGCCAGACATGAATACAACTGCCTATGGTTCATCCATGGCTCACCAGTCACACCCTGTAAGGATGTCCCAGAAATCCTAACTGAATATCAGTCCAGGTGTCATTCTTCATACCATCCTCTCTGTGTCATCATCTAACATACTGAAACACAACAGTTTCACATACAGGTTAATGGGAAACTGGGACACTTCTTCATCTCCTACCATCCAGCACAGTTTTCACTAAACACTCTGGCTGCTTTGGGAATCATCCATTCCTCTAAATAGGCCTACTTTCCACAAGACTTCCACCTTCATACTTTTAAAGCTGCACCTAGCTATTCCAGCAAGAGTAAAGTTGACTTATGGGAACACAAACTAATTAAGCCAGAGACAGTTCTTATTCAGGAGACATTTAAAATACATTTATAGAAGAGAAATTTAGTTTCATTTACCCTTCATTATAATGTTCTCCACAAAATGATTCTTTAGTGACATTTCAGCTTTTATGGCATTAAACAAGTGTTAAAAGAAATACAGCAGATAACGCTATCACTAGGGCAAATTAAATCAACACAGCATTAAGTGCAAAACTCTTTAGATCCCTTGGTTAGACAAATGCTCAGTATGTGAACCTATAACCATTCATATGCAGTCCCTGAAAAAGGAGAGGTACTTTCCACTGTGGTGAAACTTTGAGGAGCAAAAGGTAAAAATACCACAGAATTAGAGTAATTTAAATAGGAAAGGATGTTCAGAGGTTATTTACTCTAACCCCCTGCTCAAAGCAAGGCTCATTAGATCAGACTGCTCCAGGCCCCATCCAGCTGAGTCTTCAACACCTCCAGGGACATAAATTCCACAACCTCTCTGCACAGTTTGTTCCAGCATTTAACCATCCTCTGTGCAAAGAAGATTCTCCTAACATCTCATCAGAGCCTCTCAAGTTCCAAACATATTGCTGCAATATATCCCAAAAGATGCAACAATACAGGACAACTAGACCCAATAAAAATGGTTAACGCACCAGAGGGGGCAGACATTTATCCCCATTGGGATCTCTATAGGTGCTGTACACAGAGGAAATAAGAAAATATGACAAAAACCACACTATAACGTATTCTCAATTATACACCTACATGCAGCCAGCTTGGCAATATGCCAAGCCCCATGTGTGGTGCTGAAGCACAGGTCCAGGAGGACTTGCTGGCACAACAGAAAATTAACCCAACACTTCCTGGAGCAACTTTGCACCCAGGCGCATCTCAGCATTTCAAAGTTAACCCATGAACCTTGATTCCTGAGCTGGCAGGCCTGACAAGATAAGTGCTGGTACACATCCATAGCTACACAGCTCACCATGAGGCCATCAAGAGTTTGTTAGCTTTGGCTCAGCACAGGCCTGCCAAATCCCACCTGGCTCCCCAAGGAAATATTCAAGTCTCTCTGCACAGCACTCTGTCCTCCAGAAGGGTCTCTTCATTCAGATGCTCCCTCTCACTGCCCCTTACAATGCACAGCTGGTTGTGTGCAGCAGGAGCACGCCTACAGTGCTGTCAAGGGATCACACCTTTCCCTCACAGCCATCCTGTACACAGAAGCATGGAGAGGCTGGGATGGGGTGAAATGGACCAATTTTCTCCCTTACTGGGCTTCTACTGCTCAAGAGTGGCCTCTGCATTTAAAAGGGATTATGTCCCAAGAAAGAGAATTGGTTTCAAATATAAATAGATAAACAGTACATGCTTTTTAGCCTGTTTTAGACATGGCATCAGAACATGGTTGCATGCAATCACCTCAAGAAGCACTTTTCCCTTTGCCTCCCACAGAAACCCTGATGTTAAACATGCTGCTTTGTTGGTTGGGGGTTTATGGCTGGATGGTTTTGGGTTTGGTTGGTTTGGTTTTTTTAGATAGCTAAAGATATATTTGAGGAGTCTACACTTTTTAATGTTTCATTATGCATTTGCAGAGCTTCACATTGTGGACATAATGGTGATTTTTCATGAAAGCCACTACAAAAATAAACTGTCTACATGAAAATGAGCTTTTCAAAGCTAACTGAACACACTCTTATAAAAGGCCAAAAGGCCAACTAAAAGCAACAAGACAGCAGAAATGGACTCAATAATTAACACCCAACAGTAAGTCATATGTACCAAATTCATAGTGCCAGAGAGCAAACCCCCTTCTCCATCGCTGAGGGAAGACAACTGCACAAACTCCAATGAGGAAACTTAACCCATGAAACAAGACCTGATAGACCCCATTAGTCCCAGTCATTATTTAAGAATTCATTTACTAGTTTCATTATTTAAAACTGCCCACCCAAGCTAAATCCTGAAATATCACCAATAGCTGTGCACCCAGTTCTGTGCTCCCGGACTCCTTTTCAACAGCTCTCTGTAAATATACAATCTTTCATACAGCAAGCAGCCTACACTAAAAGAATCAAGCGTGAAAAGATACACAGGAGCCCCTACACCACCCAGCTAGCACACCTGCTTTACCCTGCTGCTCTAACCTCAAACCTGCCAATCAACAGCTATTGTCCATCTGCCCAAAACACAGAGTGGGGCAAGAAAAGCAAAGATTTCTGATAGATATTTGTGCTGATCAACTGTATATACTGCCATCTGACTAAGATAATTCCTTACTGGGTCAGGAAAATCTACCCTTCAAGGGATTTAATAGAAAAGAAGGAAGTTTCATTGTATCTGGCTGTAACTTTCAATGACAAAAATGACAAAATACATCCAATATCTTAAACAAATCTCAGGAGGAGCCTCGTTTATATAAACAGTTGACTGTGTCCTTGGATTTGGCCAGTTAAGTATACTGGCCTAGTGCTGTGTTTCCAGCCTAGGTCCAGACTAGTTAACAATTATGCATATAAAAGTGCAGGAAGTAGATTACTTATTAAAAGAGAACAGTAGTTGAAATTCACTCCACAAAAACATGTACCTTTTCCTGTGTATTACAGAAAATAATGTTTTGTTGTCAGCTACTGCTGGCAGAAAGACACATAGTTAATGCTGGATCGTTACCACTTCTAATTTCAGTGGCATGCGCAGATCCCACATGATATACAAACTAATAAACACCACCGTCTTTATATTTGGTTCCCAAAATACCTCTAACATGCTTTCAGGTGTGAAGTATTATTTTAAGTGACAGCTATGACACTATTATTTTACCTAGACACTGAATGAAAAGCAACAGCAAAAGTGGGTTTCACAGCAGATACATCCTAACTTAAGTATCCTAACAAAGTCATAC